ACATACTCTTCATTATTTATAACAACTTTAGTAGGTAAACTATTTGGTTTGCAATATTTGTTTCCAATTATTTCTTTAATTACGTCCCACGTTTTTTTAATATCACCTTTAGAGTTTTTTATTTTATTTGAGTAATAATTCTTTTTTAAAATCTTTTTGATTTTTTCAAACAAATTTTTATATTTCTTGTAAGCATTTAGGTTTGCTTCATTTCTATTTTTTAAGTATTTGATATAAAGTTTTTGTTTTTTTTTTGAAGATTTTTTAATTCCTTTGGTGATCCACGGACATTTTAGATGTTTTTCTTTTACTAGCATTACTTTTATTGGGAAATATTTATTATAATTTTTTAAGAAAATGTTTTCAAAATTAGTGTAAGCAGAGTTGGTGCGTCCAAGGTTACATTCTTGGTATACTTTATCCCAGTTTATTGCCGATAGTGATTCTTTAAATTGTTGAATAGCATATTTGTTAATTTTCCTTTTATGAATTTCAATTTTACAGTCGTTAGTAGTTTTTGTATCGTGTGACAGAAAAAAGAAAATCGGAAAATGATCCGATATATCTGTTTTTATAATACCTGCTTTTAAAGTAACATCAAGAACTGTATTTGTTAATATATTGTCTATTGACGTTACTGATGATTGAGTTACCCGAGTCGGCTTATTAATAATTGGGAAGATGTAATGTTGGAGCATTTCTTTAAAAAAATATATTTAGTTTTGGCATGTTTATTGTATTGTAAGCAATCAATGTTAATGTCTCCAATACAAAATAGTTTTTTTTGTTCATTGTTATTTTTATAAAAAATTTGTTTTAAATGATTAGAAAATTTTGTTATATCACCATCAGGTGGTCTATAACATGTGGAGACTAATATGTTTTTTGATTTGTTATTTGTTGTTATCTCAATTGTAAAGACCTCACTATCGGCATCTGAGGTAGAAAGGTCATGTCTATATTTGGTGGCTTGATCAGTTCGAATATAGTTAATAATTCCCCTCCCCTTTTGTTAGTTTTTCTTTCAGAAGATATTAATTTGTAATTAGGAATTTCTAAGTTTGAATTTATTCTGGACGATTCGTCAGAACACCATGTCTCGGTTAAACAAATCATGCTGAATAAATAATTGCATTCGGTTAGAAATTGCTTAAGCTTATCAATGTTGTTATTTATGCTTCTTATATTTATGTGTAATGCAGTGAATTTATTCCTTAAAGTTGTAAGTTCAGTTTTAAAATTTGTACTAATATAAAGTAAACACCTGTCAAACTAAATAAAAATAAAATGGAGATAGTAATAATAATAATAATTATAATACAAGTAGGAATAATAAAAGTAATAGTAGTGATTATAGTGATAAAAAAACTAATGGTAGCGATTATAAAAAGAATATACTATAATAATAATAATAATAATAATAGCAATAATAATAGCAATAATAACAACAAAAATAATAATAACAACAATAATAACAATTACAATAATATTCATTATGATAAAAATATAGTAATAATAACAACAACAGTGGAAAGGTGAATACTATAGAAACAAATCAAAAAGGCCACAAAGGCCTGGGCAGTGATTCCACAAAGTTTCATTAATCACCTGATCGAATTTATGCCTCAAAGATGCAAGGCTGTGATCTGTGAAAAATTGAGAGCGAAATACAGCTTGGTCAACATTTTGTGGAGTTGCACTTGTTTTGTCCAGAAGGAAATAAATTTTTTTTAATACTTTCGATTAATTTATTAATTTTCGTGTACAAATAATGAACTTTGTGATGAATAAAACTTTAAGAACGTTGTCTCTAAACAGTTACATAGTTATTTCTCTAAATTGAAAAAAAGCAGCACTTTTATATAAAGAAACTAAATTAGCATTATTTGGTTGCACTTGTCCGATACTGTATATTTAATTTCGTGATCGAAAAAAAATCAAAATTAGATTTTCTAACATAGATATGTCAAATCATGGAAGTAATAATTATTATAGTATTATAAATAATACTTATTATAGTATTATCAATAATACTTATTATAGTATTATAGATAAGAAGTGTTATTGATAAAGTATTATCTATAATACTTCCATGGTCAAAATAACAAAACGTTTTTTGAAAAATTTATGCGTTGGGAAGGGGGTTGACTTTGTAATAAATAAAGCGTACGTACGCAGAGTAAGGTTGGGAAGGGAAGGGGTACTTAAAAGCATCCAGTTGCGTACAAAGGGGGGGGGAGGGAGTCCTAAAAGCCCTCTTAAATACCCCTCCCTAAATTCTAAAGTCGAAAGTTGAATTGATTCATTATCCAATTATCATAATATAATGATGCTGCATTCTTTTGTTAAAAACAATTATTTGGTACTGCTTTTAAAATTTACCAAAACCCAAGGCAATATATTTAGCTATATAAATACAATTTATTTATCTCGATTCCATTCTTTATCTTTTATGTTTATAGTTTGGCTCCTTAAAGCATTTTATGTTTTGCTCTTTTTATTATGAATATTTTAAATCCGTTGTGATGTCTTTTAAATTAAACTAAAGTTTACTAAAAGCCAACATAAAAATTACGTTTTTGAACAACACCAAAAAGAACAGCTGCATCTCTACAGCAACTGCTGCAGTATCACAATAGGTTACCAAAAGCAGGTATACTGTTTTCCAGTTGTTGTTTTTTTTTCATATATATCTACTTATTTATATAATACTATAGTACGATTGTTTATATCTCATTCATTTTTTTTTTGTTTTGTTTATCTTTAAGTGTTAATAATTTTATTCTTTGAATGATATTAGTTAAACAAGTCGGCTTTTCATTAAAGATATTGGTTTCAAAATTGAACATCATTGGCAAAATGCTTACAAAATTAGGTAGTTTTTAAAAATCTGTTTTCTATTTAATACACTTTTTTTTTAATATACTTTTTTAATATACTTTTCTATAACAATTCTACTAATATGGAATCACGTAGCTTTTTAAATATGTTTAATTGTCGTCCCTATCGGTAATAAATATTTTAAATTATTTGATATGGTTTTCTTTACAATAGGCTATGCTTGGCTCCTCGGTGCTGTAAATGGTGGCTTCAACTTTGTTTTTTTTAAGAAAAATGTGTTTTATATATGCTTCTGTTTTAAAATATTTTTGTTACATATTTAACTTTATATCATGTAAATAAATTTCTTTTAAAGATAAGTAAACTTGATACTTGCTTTTTTACGGATTTTCAAAAAGTGAACAAAGGTTTAAATATATTTTTTAACTGTCTTTTATGATTTTATCAATTTTATTAAATATTACTTCAAATATAAAATTTACTATATATAAATAAATATAAAAATTACTTCAAAAATATTGAGTAAAATCTAATTGCTTTTATTATTAACCTGATATATACAAAAATTAATGAATTAAAACTAATAATCTAACGCCAAGTTAAGGCAAAATGAAATAAATATGTTGATACACGTTAGCTATTATAGTAAATCCATATATTCCTTTGTTTTTTTATAAACAAGTTTCTGCTGGATTACTAATTAAAAAAAAGGTTGGTTTAAATAATAATCTTTATCATAATATATAGGATCCGTATGCAGGGTAAGCCCTTTTCGGAATTGCGATATATTTTTCAACTTATAGTTTTTCCGGATATCCAACTTCTATGCCTACAAGTTTGGGTGTAATATTTTAGATGTTTTAAAAATATTTAAAAAATATATTAATAACATTTAAAAGGTTTAGGTGCGATAGTGACATATTTTTAAGCTCTTCACTCAGTAAAATGAAAAGTGTAAAAAATAAAGAAACGACTCAGCTTAAAGCAAAATTAAGAGTAGAATATATTCCCAATATTTACCTAAACAATTTTACGGAATTTGAAAATTTGACATCGATTTTCTGTGCATATAATTCAAGTCATTTTATGGTTAACATTATCTTTAATGAAGCTAAGAGTTCTCTTAAACTAAGAAGCCAAGAAAAATAAAAGTGAACTCAACTAAAAAAATGTATAAATAAATTTATATTTTATTAGAGAAAGTAAATAAAGATCAAATTGTTAGTAATGATTTATTACTACTAACCCGTATTACGGGTTGCTTACAGCTAGTTATCTATAATACTTCCATGGTCAAATTAACAAAACGTTTTTTGAAAAATTTATGCGTTGTGAAGGGGGTTGACTTTGTAATAAATAAAGCGTACGTACGCAGAGTAAGGTTGGGAAGGAAAGGGGTACTTAAAAGCATTAAGTTGCGTACAAAGGGGGGGGGAGGGAGTCCTAAATTAGTGGTTTTACTGCGTTCGTACTTTATGGATGCCCCTGAGGTGAAGTTGGAAGAAGTTGAATGTGAAACACTGCAACAGGAGAATAGAGAGTAACAGAAGGGCACGAGTTGAGAAATAAAAGAATTAAAGTACGTTCCATTTAGCGAAATCAAAATAAAAAATTTTGTTGAGGAAACTTTATAAATCCAACCCGTTGGGAAATGAGCTAGCGACTAGCGAGCGATTAGCTAGCTTTATAGCGATTTTGTAGCGATTTTTTTTTTTTTTCTTATTGTTTTTTTTCCTAATGTCTTTAACATCTTTAAAAATTCGATTTTTAGTGTTGACTCTATTATAATTATGAAAATAATTAAACTTTAAACTTGGCGATTTTGTAGCAATGTGTTGCTAGCTACATATCGTAGCTTTGTAGCTAGCTACAAAATATCTACAAATCTATAGTAGGTTGATAGCTGCATATTAAAATTTTTTAGACTGCGATTTTATTACGATATGACGCTAGCTACAAAAGCCTGTGGGTCTTAAGCTTATTAAGCTAACTGTCTTCGTAACCAAATTGCTGTCTTTGTCTTTACAAATATCGATAGCTTTTCGCTAACTTAAAAAAGCTGCCGATCCTCGTGGCCAAATCGCTGTCTTTATCGTTACGATTACAGCTAGCTATTCGCTAGCCGATTTCCCACCGGGAAATGTAAACAAAAACACAAGTTTTTTAATTTTGTATCATTTTATTGGTAGAGTCATAGATATATTTTTTGAAACACAAGGAAACTTTAATAAGTTCTACGCTATCTGAATTTACATCAGCTGTGAGTTGCTGCTTACCCTTTTTTTTAATTGAAAGTTTTTCTTTAGTAAGGGTGCCTAAACCGTTTGGGATATTTATCTTTATTTTACCGCTTTGTCCGAAACGACCATCAATTCGACCCGTCTCACCAGTAGAAAGAGTAACCTTCATATTGTCAAACAATTCTAACCTTGTTTCTTTTTTAAATATGGAGCGTGCTATGACAGTATAATCATCCATCATTCTCTCGATAACCCCTTCCTTCTGTTTCATTTTATACACTTTTAAATTTGGAAGTAATGTTTCTTTAAAATCTTTCAATGTGAAAGGATATACAATTTTTCCATAAAAAGCAATCCGACATGTGTTTACATTTATATCAATATCTAACTTTGAAGCAATCACAAGAGCATCTTTTTGACATATAATCGGTCGTTCAAACTCCAATAATACAAACTGAGCACCAGAACTTTTATTTTCGCTAAGTTCCTCTTGAAAACTGTATTCGCAATTAAAATTAAATATACTGTCATTAACTACGTCAAAATTCAAGTGAGAAATATTAAAAAACTGCATTTTCGCCATGACCGTTTCGTAACCAACTGTAATATGGAATTTTGATTTGTTTGTGCAGCTTCCTTTAAAATAGGAAATTTTGTTAACCGATAAAATTGCTCCAAACAAAGTCGGTAATGTTCCGGGCGAACACACAAACCCTCGTTCTAAATTTTTCGGATCAAACTGTGTTACACAAACACCAACTCTGTCACCTTGAAATGCTTTTTTAACAGGTTGTCGGAACATTTGCAAAGACTTCACTTTCTTTATTTCCTAAAAATATTTAATTCTTTAGACAATAAACATCATATAAATAAATTTATAAATATTTCAACCAAATTATGTTTATTTTTGTAAATAATATTAATACGTTAATATTTTTATTTTATAAATATTATCTGAAACCATTAAATATATTTCTAAAATTTAAAGACACTGTACAAAAATTTTAGGAAAATGATGTATTCATTAGTTAGTTGTTGTTGTTGTTTATTTTGAGTTATTTATATTTTGGCATGAAATAAATTTTTGGGATGAAATAAATTTTTGGGATGAAATAAACCTTTGGGATGAAATAAATTCTAACTTGAAAAACCTAAAATAAAATCATTTTTTTCTAAATAACATCTTTTAAAATATTCCAATATCAAGTCAGGGGCGTATGCAGGCTACCAAGGGGAGGGCAATTTTTGAGTTTTTTTGATTTGGTGGATCCAGACGATCTAGTAAGGGGGAGTGGGAGGGTAATGAAGAATTTTAGTTTTTTTTTTTTTTTGATTTGGTGGATCCAGATCATCTAGAAAAGGGTATATTTTTAGATTTTATAATTTGTGGGCATGCAAGCCCACAAATTTCAATACATTTTTAGTAAATTTTTTTTTTGAGTATCAGCTCTATACTATGTAATTAAATGAAATGACGTAATATATTGTTATACCAAAAGTATAATTTAAAATTTGTGTCATACAATTTTATTAAAATTTCATATTAGCTGCCAAATTTACATCCTTTTTTTCAAATAACACTCTATATTAAATATATAGAAGTACAAAAGAAATAAAAAATTTAATCTAGGGGAAGGAAGGGGGGGCAGTTGCACCTCCAAATGGATCTGCCCCTGTACTAAGTTAGTAAATTCATATCAGGTTCATCATTTGAAACTTTAAACAAAACTTTATGAAGAACATTTGATACTGGCAATTATGGTAAGGATGGCAATTGGTAATCTATTTGATATTGGTAATGATGGTAAGGATATCAATAGGTGAAACTATTTGATATTGGTAATGGTTGTAAGGATAGCAATAGGTGAACTTATTTAACCTAAAAAATTTTAGCTCAGTGTTTCAAAGTATATTAAAGTTATGAGTGTAATAAAAATTAGAACAAATATTGTTTTCTAATAATTACTTTATTTACAAAACCTTGATAACAAATAAATATTTGTTATCAAGGTTTATTTATATATTTTGTGGACTTGGGTTAGCACAATACTGAAAAATATATTTTGCTCATTTTAAATTTTAAAATGTTGACTATGTTCCAGACAGACAGTTACCACCCATTAATAAAATCTCCAACAGTCTAATAAATTGCAAGACAACATTTATGCTCTGATAAAAAAATGACAATAAAAAAAAAAAAATTTTAACTGCAAAAAAGTTTAAAAAAATCTAACAAAAGATCAACGCATTTTAATAAGGAAAAGTGTTGAACTGAATTTCAACAAGCTTCAATCTATTTAACAACATTTATAGAAGAAATTGTATCTTAAGTATTGTCTTGTTTATTTTATAAAAATACCAACTCCTATCAATTTAGAACAACAGGACTCAGTACTCACAGATCAAAATTGATGGATTCCTAAGAATGTAAAAAATATTTTCTTGTCTTATTTTAAAAGATTAAAAAAACCAGGGAAAAATAAATCTTAATTTAGATGTCACATTTTAAGGGGGGGGGGGGGTATTGAATTTGACGACTCGTACGGAACTAGTTTCTAAAGTGTTACAATGTTGTGACAAAGGAGTCTAAAATGGTCTAATATTGTGTGATGTAATTTGTGGACGACTACTTACCATACTCTATGAACTATCTAAGTTTCATCATTGCAACACTTTATATTTTAAGATAAAATGTTAAACAATTCATAGCACCATGTATGTGAAATGGACAAAACATTTTCAAAAACTATTTCAGTATGAGTCATCAGTGTCATTCTAATGCTGCATTTATATATGATATACACACACACACAAAAATATATGCAGATGACACCAAAATCTTATCAGCAGTAAATTGAGGACGCTAAATTAATTAAGAGACTTGAATAATATAGAAGAGTGGTCAGAAAAATGGTTAATCAAACTGAAGGAAAGTAAATGTGTGGTTATACGGTAAAAACAAAATAAAATTTAATTACACAGTTAATGGATCAGAAATTAAGAATTTAACAAATGAACGTGACCTTGGTGTAAATTTTGATACATCACTGAAATAGAATAAATACATAGTAACATGTTCATCAAAAGCAAACGCAATAATAGGGATAATAAAAAACACCTTTGTCCATTTAGATCAGCATCTTGTCAAGCAAATATACACAACTTTTTTTAGACCTCTGATTGAATTTGCAGCACCAGTTTGGTCACCAAACTACAAAGTGTAGAAATATTGACATTATTCATTTCTTGTTTTTATATTGTTTTATATTGTTGTTGTTTAAACTTATTGTTATTTCATTTAGAAACTAACATTGTTTAATATATAATTATAATTGAGAACAACGACTAACTTTTGTTTATGTTAGTTTCTTATGCATTCTATGGAATTTTAAAGAAACACTGGTATTTCAAAGATAAAAACTTCTTATCAGTGGTTGAAATTGTAATTCACTTACATATTCGTTTAAAGTTATTAATGTACACACAAAAGGTAGGATTTTGCTAACCTTTTTCTTTCCTACATTATGTCCACAATAAGCTTACCTTGCCAGGCCCTAGGATGTAATGTCGTCATTGAAGGTCCCAGCGAAGCAATTGCAATTGCATTATTCAACAGTCACCAGCTTCACCATCCTCCAAACTCGATTGACACTCAGCCACCTAAAATGGATCGCCCCCACATCGGTCAGGATATCTCAGAAGGAGTGGGCAAACTTTATTAGTCGCTGGACATTGTTTAAGAGATGTACAGACATCAGACAAGAAGAGATGACAGCACAGCAGTTTCAGTGCTGTGAGGACAACCTTGGAAATCAACTCCTAAAAGAAAATCCCATGATAATTAATGAAAACGATGAGGCATTTCTAAAAGCAATGAAAAAACTGGCCGTTATCCCAGTAGCCACTTGCGTCAGAAGAGCAGAACTCCTTCAAATGAGACAGGGACACAACGAAAGTATTCGGTCATTTTATGCAAAACTGAAAGGCAAGGCTGCTACTTGCAACTACACTGTTCAATGCCACTGCCACCCACAAACAACTGTTGATTTTACCGATGTTATCATACGAGACATTGTTGTTGCTGGGCTATCAGACACTGACATCCGCATAGATGTACTTGGATGGGTCTCCCTTGACACAGCCTCAGTCACAGATATCATTGCTTTTATAGAGGGTAAAGAAATGGCACGAAATGCACTAGGCTGTAGTTCAACAACAGCAAGTGTATCAACTTTCAGGAAACAAAACAAGAGCAATACACAGAGTAGTAAAGGGACCAATATAACAGCCAAATGTCCAGATTGCTCAGAATCTTACAGTTTATTTACAGAAACATCCAGAGGATGGAACAAAAAACCCCACAAGCTGTCTAGACTGTTGGAAGAAGCTCAGATCTCGCACTTCTAAAATTAACAACAGAATCATCCCAAATGATAAGAAATCGAATGCAACCAAAGATGCTGAGGCAGGCGGACTTGTGTTAAAGTTAAGTGCAATTGAGCATTCAAATAAAAAAATTAGATCACAAATGAAGACCAATGTGAAACGACCCTGCACAGGAATAAACCATCACATATTTACCCATGATGGATGGGCCACAGCTCAATTGCTTGTTCATCCTACAATTCAGCTGCGTGTGACTACTAACAAATCAGACTATGTCGCATTTGGTATTCCATTTCCTCCCATTATACCAAAATATATACAAGTTATTACAGATACCGGTGCACAGTCCTGCTTATGGTCTAGGAAAGGGTTTGACAGTGCAGGCTTTAATGCAAACAATTTAATACCTGTGAAACATAGCATGTCGGCCGCAAATAAAACCCAATTTCGTATAGATGGTGCAATTCTTTTACGTCTCGAAGGACGACAATCTAATGGCCACAAAGTTAAATGTGCAGTATGGGTTTACATAAGTCCAGACGCAAACGGATTCTACCTATCTAAAGAAGCAATGACCCAACTGGGTATCATCTCTAAGGACTTTCCAGAGATAGGCAGTGCCCTCCACGGAGCTATTAACTCAGGCCCTCAAACTATAGGGACCAAAACATCCAGTGAAAATAATAGCTCACACGTGTGCAATTGCCCCAAAAGAAGTCTCCCAGCAGGTGCACCCACCAAACTTTCATTTGTCTGCTGTCCTGAAAACAACAAACGGATGAAAGCGTGGCTCCTTGAAAGATACTCTGCTTCAACATTCAACACATGTCCACACCAGATTTTACCTGATATGGAGGGACCTCCAATAAGTATTTTAATTCAAGAAAATGCCAACCATTTGCAGCATTTACTCCAGCCACCATACCAATCCATTGGCAAGACCAGGTGGAAAAGGATTTAATTCGTGAAGAAACTCTTGGAGTTATTGAAAAGGTACCTCTAGGAGAACCTACAACATGGTGTCATAGAATGGTTATCACATGTAAGCATGACGGTGGGCCTCGTTGCACTGTTGATCTATCTCCTTTAAACAAGTACTGCTATAGAGAAACTCATGCAATGAAATCGCCTTTCCAACTAGCTTGTTCAGTCCCAAGAAATTCATGGAAAACTGTAACCGACGCATGGAATGGTTATCATAGCATCCCGATACGGGTTGAAGACAGGAATCTTACCACCTTCATTACTCCTTTTGGGCACTACAGATACATCCGAGCTCTTCAAGGTTTTGTATCTAGTGGGGATGGCTACAACAGACGTTTCGACGAAATTTTAGCAGACTTTATTGGCAAACAAAGATGTGTAGATGACACCATCCACTACGATGACGACCTAGTCAAACATTGGTGGCCAGGTATCACTCACAGCATACAAAGTAAGCGCGATAACTGTTGCAGCTGTAATCGAAATGCACCTTCTAATGCACGACTACCACCCATCAGACCTCTCATCCCTGTGACACCAATTAAATGCATATTTGCTGACTATTTTGAATTTCGTGGCTGGGATTATCTGGTCATTGGAGATAGACTTTCTGGATGGGCCGAAGCCTACAGAATAAAATCAAGAACATCAGAAATGAGTGCAAAAGGTCTTATTACGTGCTTACGTAAACTATTTACAACATTTGGAGTCCCAGAAGAAATTTCAACCGACGGTGGTCCTCAATTCACCTCTGGAGTAACAAAAGAGTTTCTACAACAATGGGGCATAACTCATTGCATTTCATCAGCCCACCACCCACAATCTAATGGAAGAGCTGAGCTTGCAGTTAAGTCAACAAAACGCCTCCTTGAAAATAATGTGGGACCAAATGGTGATCTCAATAATAATGCTTTTGTAAGGGCAATGCTTACAATAAGAAACACACCAGACCCTACTTGTCAGTTATCCCCCGCTCAAGTATTATTTGGCCATCCCATTCGCGACGCCATGCCCAGGATAAAATCCAGAATACCTATGTTTAATAACGACCGATTCTTGAAAACGTGGAGACATGCATGGTCTGCAAAAGAAGAAGCATTACGAACAAGATATGCAAAGACCCTTGAATCACTTCAAGAACACACACGTTTTCTCACACCACTACATGAAGGAGACAGTGTCTTCATACAAAATCAAGTAGGGAACCACCCTAAAAAATGGGATCGTAGTGGAAAAGTTGTTGAATGTAAGGAAAATAACCAATACATCATTAAGGTTGAAGGAACAGGTCGGCTATCATTGAGAAATAGAAAATATTTGCGCAAATTCCTCAACCCTTTAAAGTCATACGAAACCAAAGTTGCATTGACCACACCACCAAAAACAAGCTCTAGTCACTATAACTCTGCCGATTTGCCAACACCATTTACAGAGTATGTCCCAGAAAGTAGCAACAAAGTCATACCATCCCAACCGGAACTAGCACCATCTACAGTATTGCTATCGCCTTCTACATTAGCACCAGCAGTACCACCACTACCTCTACCAACAACTCCAGTACCCTTACCGTTGATGCCAGCATCTTTATCAACAAGCTCGCCGCATCTAGCGATGCCACCTTTATTAAATACTGAAATCGTAGGAGATCAACCATTGAAATGTTCATCCAGGCTACGTATCCCCAAAAAATTCTACCAACCAGAAACCGGGAAATCTTTGACATTAGATGACTTTAAGAAATGAACTCAGAAATTATGTTTATATTCATTGACACTTAAAAATATGGAAGGGGATGTAGAAAGTGACATTATTCATTTCTTGTTTTTATTAGTAACATTATTCATTTCTTGTTTTTATATTGTTTTATATTGTTGTTGTTTAAACTTATTGTTATTTTATTTAGAAACTAACATTGTTAAAGATATAATTATAATTGAGAACAACGACTAACTTTTGTTTACAAAGGTGACATTAAAATATTAGAAAAAGTACAGCACAGAATGACTAGGATGGCAAAGAACATAAGAAGTCTGCAGTAACAATACCATTTGCAGACAGTAAATTTAATAACATTGTCAGAAAGAAGACAAAGAGGAGATCTTATTTAAGTATTTAAAATTTTTAATAAAATTGAAAAAGTAGAACTTTTAAACAAACAAATTTTATCTAAATCACACAGAGGTCACAATAAGAAATACAGAAGAGAACAAACCAAGTTTATACAGTGACACGAATTTCTTATAAACAGAACTGCAAATTTATGGAATGCATTGCCATTAGAAGTCGCCAATCCAACAAACGTAAATAATTTATAAAAAATTAAACATATATGAAAAATAAATATATAGCATCAAAAATTAACTTAAAAACTATTTTTGTTTAATTTTTTTGGATTGAATTGTTTTATATTATCAAAAGCTGTCAAAGTGAGTTTTTAACTCCTCACTGTTAATGCAGCTATAATTTAAACTATTATTACTATTACTATTATAATATCACGTTTTTACATATTTTTTTAAGAAAATCAAAGTAATAAAGAAAAAGTCAACTTGCCTTAAGTGCTGGAATTTCAACATTGTCATTAACAGCAATGCTCCCATTTAGCACAGTTCCAGTCATTACTGTTCCTTGGCCACGTATTGAGAAACAATGATCAACTGCTAACAAAAATGAACCAGTTGGGTTCCTGTTTGGAATATAGGATTGACTCTTTAAACATGCAATTAAATCATCTAAACCAATTGTTTCTGGTCTTTCACTGTCAGTCTCTCCAAATTTTGCAGCAACAGCTACAACAGGTGCATTTTTAAACTTAGTATTTTCTAATGTCTTCAGTAGTCTCGTTTTCATCTAAATAATTAAAAAATATTTTTAAATAAATAACTAGATTTTTGCCCAACTGAAATTCTAAATACCAATCAATTTGGTACCCTCCTTCTTTTAAAAATTCTGAATCTTAAAATTCTGGATGTGCCACTGCAAATTTCAATATGCCAATTTTTTTCACCTTTTGTACAACTGAACTTCGTTTATCCTCAGAAATAAGATCAATTTTGTTGATAACAACAATCATCTTTTCACACAAAATCTCACCAATAATTAAACATTCTGCTGTCTGTGTTTGCATCCCTTTTACAACATCAATTACTAATAACATCATATCTATGATTTGTGCGCCACCTATAAAAAGAAACAAAATAATATATTTATATTCTATTTAAAGAAAAAAAATTTAATTAAAAAGTAACAATTGCAAAAGAAAACAGTTAAAAATAAATTTTTGAAACAAATTTATTTCTTTTTAATCTTTAGCACATATTTTTATTATGTTTAAATATCTTTTTTTCGCCACTTTAAAAAGGTATTTTTAAAATAGAGTATATAGATAAAAAAATTTTATCTATATACCCTATTTTCTATTTATAATAAAAGATTTTGATTCATCTAGATGCCATCTTGCTGCCAGAGATAAATCACATTAAAATCTTTAAAACATTTGCGAGAAGCTTTTTGAAAAAGAAAAAAGAAAAAACTTTTTCATAAATATTAAATTGCAGAAAAAAAAAAAATTTAGTCTACTCAAATCTCTGCGTTATGACTGATTTTGTGCTGCAGCTGATTCAATTTAAAAATCAGCTAGATTCACAACACAACTAAAGAAAAATTTCATTGTATTCAACGCATTTACTTTTGCCATTGTATTCAATGTAGTGCTTATTAGGTAAAATTTAGCACTATTTATATTATATCTACACACAATTCACACTAAAAGTCTCTATTAGAGATTAGAGAAACGCACCGAAAAAAACGCTACAGATAAAATTTTGTTGGAATGATTTCAACAATAAAAAGACACCTGTTTTTTAATTTGTCCTTTTATCCCCACTAATCTAGAATTTATTAGAAATCTTCAACTTACTTTTTTTTTTGGGTTTGTTTACGGCTCCCTTACAAAAATGCTTGAAAGTTGACACTGTTAAATTTAAATGAGTAGTAATACAATTTCTCATTTTTGCTTGTTTGTTTTTATTTTTTCTCAATATAAAATCACTTTTTGTGATTTTTTATTCGTTTTATATTTTATAGTCAACAGTCAAGAAGGCTGGATTTATATTATTTTATATTCTAGAGTCAAGAAGGATAGATTTATTTTATATTCTAGAGTCAAGAAGACTTTATTTGCAATTTTTCTCAAAGTTAAAATTTAAACCAGGAATCTTGTTTGAAAAGGAAAAGTTTAGAAAGAAATAGGTTTAGAAAAGTACTACAAGAGACGTAGGGTTAATTTAAACCATAAACCTCTTGATTGTAAGCTACCACAACTTTACTAGTACCACTGCGAGTTTGTTTTAAGTTAAGTACTTACTGATATTTAGCTGAAAGAAAAACTCAAAGGACCAAGATAAAACTAGTTTTTTGTCAAAAAGACAATTATAATATATGTTTACATAACATAATTACCACAATGTAATTATCACAATGTCATAAAGTATATGCATACTTTATGACATTGTGAATCAAAACTACAAACTTTTCAGAGGTCAAATTAGAAAGAACTTTGAAATTAATTAATGGTATATACAATCTTCAATATCTTAAAAGATAATTAAAACCAAATATAATAGGTACCAAATAATGGTTAAACCATACAGACCTAACTAATATTTACAAATGACTTACCAATCAGTATAAATGTAAGGCAAATTTATATTATTAGTCTTACTTAAAATCACATTTAAAATAAACAAGGTCATGCCTTTAAATTGAGACAGATATTTTTAAAATATTCTCAAAAAAATTATTTACCAAAATTATTTAAAATAATCAAAATGAAACTTTATTTAAACAATCTTGTGGTCTTTATCTTCAAAATATTTTTAATAAACTAGTAGACAATTGTCTTTAACACAAAACAAAAACCTTTGTGACTGAGTTCAATTCATATTTTTTATATTTGATATAAACATACATATTTGTTTAAAATTATTTAAATGATATAAGGTGTAATATCATTCAAAGTTAATCTTGAATTTTAACTTATAAATCATCATCTTATTATTATAAAACAATAGTATACTTACAACTATTATTATCATTATTCAATTTTTTGATATTATTTAAATTATAATAATTTTTATATATCTTTCTAATTATCATCATAATTTATAACTTTTTAAATATTATCATAATTTATCATTATTATTTTTTTCAATTGCTGTTGTTGTTGTTATTATTACTATTACTATTATAAAAGTGATTATAAAGAGAAAATAAATAGCTTGTTGTTGCTGTTGTTTTACACATATCGTAAAAAGAGCAATTACATGGTTTAACCCTTTTTATTTTTAACAGGTCATTAAATTTATTGTTAAGTATGACTGACACATACACACACACACACACACACACACACACACACACACACACACACACACACACACATACATATACACACACATACATACACACACATATATATACACACACACACGCATAAACAAATTTACCTAAAATTGTTTTTATAAGAGAAGCATGCCCCGGGCAATCAACTAAAGTAAATTGCAGCTTTTCATAATTATTGTCTTTCAAATGGTCAGGACAGTTTACCAAAAAAGAACTAAAACCAAGATCCAGAGTAATGCCTCTCTCTTTGCTTTGAGGATTCTTATCAAATGCTGCAGTAGAAGCTACAGTGCTCAAAGATTTCGAAAGAGATGTTTTTCCGCTGTCAACATGTCCCAAAACTCCAATATTCAAATTCAAGAAACATTCCTTGCTATCATTTAAAGTAGCCATTTATCTATTAGTTTTCAATTAATATTAAGTTAAAAAATTTATTCTTAAATCAGTAAAGTTTTCAGTTGAGGATTGTTAATGCCATTCAAAAGTAGGTCATCGTTATTTATAAATATACTTGTTTTGTAAAAGCAAAATTTACGTCTACTTTTGGATGGTACTCTCGTATGTTGAATGCACGGGGACGTTGACAACAACAAATTTATTATTCTTCGCCGCAAGTTTAATGAGCCTAATGTAAGCATATTAAATTTTTTTTTAGTTAACAGTTATTAATCGTATATAAATTCGTAATATAATAAATTGTAATTTAGGTTCATATAATAAATTATATATATATATATATATATATATATATATATATATATATATATATATATATATATATATATATATATATATATATATATATATATATATATATATATATATATATATATAATATATATATATATATATATATATATATATATATATATATATATATATATATATATATATATATATATATATATATATATATATATATATATATATATATATATATATAACAAAAGGGTTCGATTAATAAATTATTATTTCGTAAAATATATTTGTTTATAGCTTTATGGGTAATAAGATCTTTAAAAATGAACAATGGTTGTTCACTTTTACAACGAAACATAAAACATTAAAAAAAAAAAATTGTTATTTTTGTTATTTAGGTGCCCCAAGAAAACCTAAAGGTCTGTCACAGAGCTCCGCGGAAGTGCATTTAACCAGGAAGTTCGCGCCTTCTTCCTTATCGTGACGCGAAAACATGTCCAGAGCTCGTTTCCAACCTGGATCTACTGCTTATAAAGCAAGCATTGTAACCACTGCGCAACGGTCAAATATTAAATATCAAAAGGTTTGTCCAAGTTTGCATCAAGATTTCTTTTAGCGCTTGCTTTTCCGTGATTGCAAGCAATATCCTTAACAAGTACAAGAAGATCTTTAACTTTCCTAGTAATAGATTTGTCAATTAAAAGAGGTAAGCTTAGGTCTGCTGTAACCCAAATTGATTTTAATTATTTTATTTTATTATGATTTTAATTTAATTATTGACATTGAGTTTGTAAACGTTAAGTGCTTTAACGTTTTTAAATATAATATTTGAATGAGAAAAACGATTTTCAAAACATATCAAACGCATTGCGTGTTTCTGACGATGGTAGAGATTTTGTAACTTACTTTTAGAGGTACTTCCCCAAACAATATTTGCATAATTTATATAACTATAAATAAATGAGTACCGTAAACCGGGGTTACTTTGAATAGCGGGGTAACTTTGAATACAAATTCTTTTTTTTTTCAAGTTGTAATTATGGCAAGAACTTATATGAAACTGTTTGAATCTCAAACATCAAGTTTTAAAAATAGTTTATATTTTGATCATTTAAAGTTTTACTTTATTTATTGGTTGTTATTGTTCCCCAAAAAATGAATTAAATAATTCAGATAGTTTTCTCAAAAAAATTAGTCAGAATACTTTGTGCACTGTCTCAACTAGTGTAGCAGCTTGTTGTCTAAGTTGCATAGTTTTTGTTTATAAATTTATTAAGCATGTAAAATCTAAAGAAGTTTGTTTGCCTACTATAGTTATGTTCCATTGCTATAGCATAATCACTTTGTTGTATACATTTTTTCGCATACTTTGAAAGGGTAACTTTGAATAACGTTCAAAGTAACTCCACTAATATAAATAGTCAGAAACATGAGAAACACTAATATAATACAGTATTGAACAAAACATTTGCAACCAACATCGAACAATGCTAAAAAGTGTTCCTAATTTTACATGTCTTAAAAACAAAACGAACTATACTACCACAGCAAACAGTTCAGGAGTCAGGAGCCATAGCATGCCATGACATGAGCAATCAGCTGACAGGTGACAGCACACAGGCAGAATTTTGTTGAAAAGTGCCATTTTGCAGCGGACAAAACAAGTGCAACTTTTTTGGTTTGTTTCATTTTCTTAAGTCTGGTCCGTGTCAACATCAGGAAAGTTTTTTAATAATTAAAGGAAGTATCCAGAAGTTTCCTGATGTTTCCAGAAGCATGCAGAAGCTTCCAGAAGTTTCCAGAAGAAGCATCTGGATGCATCCAGAAGTATCCAGAAACATTCAGAAGCCTCCAGACGCAACAAGAAGTTTCCAGAAGCATCGAAAAGAAGCATCTAGAATCTTCCAGAACAGGTTCACACAGGTTTATTTTACTATATAAGAGACATGTAAACCGACATGTAATTCAGTCAGTATATGGAAGTCAATCAGTCAGTATTATCTAGACAGTTTATCCAAGTGAATTTTATCAAAGTGTTTTATCGAAGAACATCAATACAAGAAGTGAAATACAACAAGTGTTTCATTACATCAATACAGTCGTATTGATGTAATGAAACACTTGTTGTATTTCCGAACAATCAGATGACGTGCTGTTGAAGATTGTTTTCTCGATGCCCTGCAAAGAAACCGCTGATTTCACTAAAGAGCCAGAAGAAAAGACTCCTGTTTGCTACATCTCATATTGACTGGAATATGCAGAAATGGCGAACTGTCCTGTTCAGTGATGAATTAAAGTTCAACATCTTTGGGAGCGATGGCATTTGCCGTGTACGTCGACCAGCCGGAAAACGCCTTGATTTACGTTACTGCCATAAGACCGTAAAGCATGGTGGAGGCAATGTAATGGTCTGGGGGGATATTTTTCTGCTAACGGTCTAGGTCCAAGGTCCAATACATCGATTCGATAGAATAATGGACCGTTACATGTATTAAAATATCCTGAAAGATGTTATGTTACCTCATGCTGAATGGAATATGCCAATAAAATGGATTTTTCAGCAAGACAAAGATCTGAAACACACTGCAAAAATAGTCAAGCAGTGGTTTCAAGACAACCACCTATCGGTGATGGATTGGTCGCCTTAATCTCCGGATCTCAACCCTATTGAGAGCCTGTGGAAGATCGTCAACCGCAGAATTAATCGTGAAGGTGTTCGTAATAGGGATCAACTGTTTGAACAAATCCAAAAGGCTTGGGCAACGATTCCACAAAGTTTCATTGATCACCTGATCGGATCTATGCTTTGAAGATGCAAGGCTGTGATCGACAACAAAGGATTTGCCACGAAATATTGATAGCAAAATACAGCTTGGTCAACATTTTGTGGAGTTGCACTTGTTTTGTCCAGAAAGAAATCAACATTTTTTAATACTTTTGATTAATTTATTAATTTTCGTGTACAAATAATGAACTTTGTGATGAATAAAACTTGAAGAACGTTGTCTCTAAACAGTTACATAGTTATTTCTCTAAATTGAAAAAATGCAGCACTTTTATATAAAGACTCCAAATTAGCATTATTTGGTTGCATTTGTTTTGTCCGATACTATATATATATATATATATATATATATATATATATATATATATATATATATATATATATATATATATATATATATATATATATATATATATATATATATATATATATATATATATATATATATATATATATATATATATATATATATATATATATATATATATATATATATATATATATATATATATATATATATATATATATATATATATATATTATTAAACTTTTAATCTTGTATAAAAAATATATGTGTTGAACAATATTTGTTGAAAATACTGTTATTCTTTTTTAAATTTGTTTTTGTTTAGCGTTTCATAGTAGTACTATCCCACTTTTATATGAAGAAAAAAATGATACAATGCAATATATCGATTATACTGAGTGCCAATTTTATGATAACAATAAACATTATTAGATAAAAAACATTATTAGATGTTCGTTAGGTGCAAATTGCCACTTTGTATAATAAAGTTTAAAAACTTAATCCAAAAACCATGAAAAGTCCAAAGTTTTTACAAATATGCAACATTTTATCTTAATGTCAATTGTGTTTAGTTGTAACGTCAAACGTCAATCATGTTTAGTGGTTCTGGTCAGGTTTTCTCTGGTTATGTTTATAAAGCTGACCATTTATGCACAACAAGAACCGAAGTAGACTACCTAATGATATACAATCAGACACAATGAAAATCAGGACAGTTTGATTCTATTCACTTTTTTGACTGGTTTGTTATTGTTTTTGTCAAATTGTATGAACATTCCTATTAGTTATAATCAAAGTAATTTTTACAGTGAACAAGTACTTGAATTTACTAAAAAAATAGTATCTTGTTGAGAAGAAAACAGTTTCTTGTTCTATAACTGGTAACTCAACCCATTTATTGCAATCTCTTGATCTTGCATTTGATTTGTTCTTTATTTAAATATAATTGCATTTGATTTATTTTTTATTTACTTATAATCATTATATTTGTTAAATAAAAAGGTAATCAACAACTTAGTAGCTTATTAGTTTTGAAAAAAATATAGGATTTACCCATTAGATATAAGTATCATCTTCAATCGTTGGCCAGATAGTTGTAACTTTAGTACGCTGCGCAGTAATTAATGTACTTTAACAATTTTTTCATATTTATGTCAAGGAGAAAGCTTTTTTGAATAGGTTTTGCTTTTACAAAAAACGCATTCAAAGTTACCCCATTTGTGGGGTAACTTTGAATGACTATTTAAATTAATATTATACAAAATCCTTTTATTTAAATATTATTTTGAATTTGAAGTATGTAAGAGTCAATCTTAGCCCCTATATTCATTTTGTTAAATTTCAAATATTGTCAATAGTGAAAAAAGAACAAGTAAAAATATCTCATAAACGTTCAAAGTAACCCCGTTTTACGGTAGTAGAGTTGAATTAAATTTTGTTTGCTTTAATAGTATCTAACCCAGGGCCGATGACACGGGTTTCAAAAAAAAAAAAAGTCCTTTAGTAAAAAAGTGGGGAGGAGGGGGTAAGGGCACCCCATCCTCCCCCTCCCTCCCCCGGTGTTTTCGGCTCTGTAACCATATACAGAATTCCAACACTTTTGGCTAGTTTAGAAGAAATAAAGTTGATATCATACTTCCATGTAATATTTTCATCAATGTAAATGCCTAAAAATTTTGTGACCGAGTACTTTTTAATTCAATTTTATCAATAAAAGATTTAGGCAAAATATTTGGTAAAAAACGCTTTTTTGCGAGGGAGAGGAAAAGGATCCATTTTGTTTTATCAATGCTTACAGTT